CACATGCACAGGTACTGGAAATTAGTATCTCAGTATGTCTTTTGGGGAGCTATTCTACCCATAATATTGTTTTTGTATTAGTGTTATGCTGGCTTTATAAAATGTATTGGGGATTTTTCTTTTATTCTAATTTGTGAAATATATGGTATATAAATGCTGTTAATTTTTCTGTAAATATTTAAGATAACTCAGCTGTGAAAGCATGTGGCCCTTGAGTTTTCTTTATGGTAATGTTTCTGATAACAAATTGAATTTGTTTAATTGACACAATGACATTATTTTATCATTAAAATTGCTAGAATATTTTACCTTGTTTTGGTAATAAGGTGGTTTGGTAGGTGGCATAAATCTTGAATATCTTTACTTATATGGCAAAAAGGACTTTGCAGGTAAAATTACTTATCTAGAGATGGAAAGATTATTCTGCATTATTCTGGTGGCCTAATATAATTATGAGGATCCTTATAAGACAGAGTCAGGAGAATCAGCATCAATAATAGGAATGTAGACAGCATTTAGAATCTGGAAAAGCTAAAACGTGGATTATCTTCTAGAACCTGCAGGATACAGCATTATCAACTCCATGATTGTAACCTAGTGAAACTGATTTTGGACATCTGATTCACAGAGCTGTGAGGCAATACACTTGTACTTGTTTAAGCTACTGAATTTGTAGTAATTTATTACATTAGCAATAGGAAACTAATATAAGGTAAATCAAAATCATTTTGACAAACTAAAAAAAAATAGATTTTTTTCTTACATTGCTATATCAAAACAGGAAGAATTGATAAAAATATTTGAGCTTATGTATTTGTGCATTTGATTTTCTTATTTTTATGAGAGGTTTTACTTTGCTAAAATTTAGTTGTTACTTGCTTTCTGCTATGTTGTTGTCATTGGGTTTTTAGTCTCAAAGGATTTCATTATAGCAAACATCTTGCCTTTCCTTTAGAGATCTGAAAGAGGTCACTGGATACTTACACTATGCTGAAGTATCCTCTCCACAATTCCTTTTTCAATTGCTGTTTACTCAACAAGTGAATGTTTGAGCTATTCTGTTGAGTGAGGTCTTGTTTTGTTAAAGGCATAAGAGAACAAGATATTCTCCTTTAGGAATACAGCTCAATATTACACAGACATTACTTTTATAACTCTAATTGCAGTGTGATTTTCTTTGTGTAATTCTAGATTAGAATCTGACATTTGTAAACCCATTGATCAAAAAAGTAAGGTTTTCTTTAGGGAAAGTAGAAGCAATAATGCAAATAAGGTCTTTATGAAACAGAAAAAACCACTTTGATTATTTTCTCATTCAAACAAATATGTAGGAACTACGGAAACTTAATGCAAATATAATAGCAACATTTTCTCTCTTGCATTTCTCTCTTTCAAATAAAACTTGTTTTCAGGCAAAGTCAAATTGTTTAGTGCAGCACTGCTGAGTAACAATTTAGTATAACCAACATATGTAATTCAAATTTTTCTAATAATCTAATTTTTCAAAAAAGTAAGAAGTGGCTAAAATTAATTTTAGTTATACATTTCATTTAGCCTGCTATATCTAAAATATTGTCCTTTCACAACCAATCTATAAAACATAATTGAGGTTTTACATTTTTTTCACACAAATTCTTTAAGATCTGATATGTATTTTATATTTACATAACATCACAACTAAAACAAGCCACATTTTAAGTTCTCAGTATCTAGTAACTACTACAGTGGATGACACGTGTGTGTAGGTAAAATAATCTAGGAAAAAATAATCCAAAACCAAATAATTATAATGAACATAATTTTAAAAATACAGAACCAAATAATTGTAATGAACATAATTAAAAGTCTTAGAGGTTTAGAACAGTCTTAAATACTGTTCCACCAAGTATAAGATTCTCCCAATTTTTTCTTCATTGGTTTAATCATTTTTACCCTAAAGAATAAATTAGTCATATTTCATTCAAGGACTTGACAAGATAACATCATTTTGGAGACTGTGGGGTGTTAAAGAACATTAAGCACAAGAAATCATAACATAGATTTGTGTAATAAAAACAAAGAAATGGGACAAAAAAAATCAGATGATTAGAAGTAATAGCCTTTCCCCAGTAATAAGTAGTGAAAAATAATTTGCACAGTTAATATAATGACATATTTTTATTCATATGCTATTATAAGTGTTTTATGATTAAACATTGAATAATTTCAGAAACAAACAAAAAAGATAAACTTGTTGGTTTCAAAATACTAGAGACCCATGGGCCAAAACAACTTCACACATTTAAAAAAAGCACATCAAAGTTATTTGAAGCATACAAAAACTAATCTGCTGTAACATAGGAGAGTATCCTAACTGTAACAGTGTTTGATGTTAATATTTAGAAATGGTACATAATTTGCCGCTACTGTATTGACAAGAAGATGTTAAATTCGTGCTATAGATGCATTTTCACTGATTTTGTATAAATATTTTATATTTTAAAAATACAAAAATTAAAAAAATATTTTATATACTTTTGTTGAAAAATCCTTTCTAGAAGAAACTCCATTAAGGCAATTTTATTAATTTTTACTTTATGGGCTAATTTTTGACCCTAATTTTCCCATGCATATGAGTCCATTCTTGTACACTATAAAGAAATACCTGAGACTTGGTAATTTATTATATAAAGAAAATTAATCTGTTATTGCACTGCTATAAAGAAATACCTGAGACTTGGTAATTGGCTCATGGTCCTGCAGGCTGTACATGAAGTATGGTGGTAGCATCTGCTTCTGGGGAGGCCTCAGGGAGTTTTACACATGGTGAGAGGCAAAGCAGGGGCAAGGGTCTTACATGGCAGGAACAGGACCAAGAGAGAAAGCGGGGAGGTGCTACACACTTTTAAAACAACCAGATCAAATGATAACTCACTAATTCATTATCATGAGAGCCACATCAAGAGGATGGTGCTGGCCGGGTGCGGTGGCTTACGCCTGTATTCCCAGCACTTAGGGAGGCTGAGGCAGGTGGATTACAAGATCAGGAGTTCAAGACCAGCCTGACCAAGATGTTGAAACCCCGTCTCCACTAAAAATACAAAAATGAGCCAGGCGTGGTCACAGGTGCCTGTAATCCCAGCTACTAGGGAGGCTGAGGCAGAGAATTGCTTGAACCCGGGAGGCGGGGTTTACAGTGAGCCAAGATCAGGCCACTGCAGTCCAGCCTGTGTGACAGAGCGAGACTCCGTCTCAAAATAAATAAATAAATAAATAAAAGGACGATGCTAAAGCATTCATGGAAACTTCACTTCTATGATCCAATCACCTCCCAGCAGGCTCCACCTTCAACACTGGGGATTACATTTGTACATGAGATTTGCTGAGGACAGAAAATTAAACCACATCACCTTGTATAAATAAAATTACATTTTTTGAATTGATTCTTATTCAATCTATATCTTATTTATGCCTTCCTTTATTATGATTTTTATAGGAGCTATTACCACGAAGTCTAAATTTGTGGACAAATTTTGTCAAAAGAATTGATTCTCTATTCAACTAAAACATCGAGTTGCAACATATTATGTCAGTTTATATCGATGTTAATATTAAATAATTTTTGAGATAATATTTATTGTTTAAATGCTACTTCACTAACAGTGATAATTTAAAAAGATTTATTATAGAAAAACTGTATCATAATTAGGTTAAAGACATGCATCACAGTCAAAGGGTATCACCAAGCCAGGGATCTGGTGACATTAACTGTAGCCTCCTACTGGCCTCCCTCTGTAAGAGCCTTGGCAGAATGCATTTTCTTTCTGAGATCAAATACAATAGATGTGTGCATGGAACACCTGGAAACCAAGAAGATAAAAGAATGGAGTTTCCTCCAGGTGTTTTCATACAGTCCTCCTTATTATTCCTTCTCTGCAATCAGCCTCAACTGCAGGGACCTGGAGGAGTGGGGGGAAGAGGTGGGAAGAAAGGGCGAAACTATTTCACCAAAGCCAAGCAAAAAATGTCACTTTCACAGTGAGCAATAAAAATTCTGATAAATTGGGACATACCTCCCCCAACTCTTTATAATTATAGATACACAAAACATTTACACAGTATGTTTCATGCCTTGACCAGGAGTCAGTGCCACAAACCTTCATTATTTTATTAGCACAGGTCTAGCTAATTCTAGGCCCTTTGGAATTAATCCTCATACTATAGCCACTGCTAAGCCATAATAATTTGGTCACTTTAAAAAATCATGACCAATTCATTTAAGGCAGGTTTGAACATTGCCAGTTTCTGTTAGTATAGATTTTTAATTAATTAATATTCACTGAAAATTTAATTAAAATAATGGTTTTTATTTATTTATTGGAGCTAAAAGCAAAGACCATTAGTAAGCAGATAAATGTGATTGGGTACCTAGATGGATCTAAATATTGGGGTCAAATACCTTAATTTTGAAGTACTATTATTTTTCATTTCAATTTTTACACGTATATTTGTAACCTCTGACGTTGTCTCCTTTCATAGTGTAAATTATGCCACTCTATAATGATTCTTAGTATTGTCACAAACAGAGATTATAACTTGGTGATTCCCTAACGTGGACCAGTTATGTAGTCATCTGAGAATGCCATGATAACAGGAAATACTTTGCACAGTGAAGCCATGAATATAATTCATATTTGTTTTAGGGGTAGATGGAAAGATAGCTATAGATAGATAGCTCTGGATAGACAGAGAGACAGAGAGAGGGAGAGAGAGGGAGAGAAGGAGAGAGAGCGAGGGAGAGAGAGAGAGAGAGAGAGAGAGAGAGAGAGAAAATAGATAGATAAAATCCTCCCAAACAGTAATTGCTTCACAAAGCAACAATATATTTATAATAAATTAAAGTGAATAATGAATATATTTGTACATAACACATTAAACCATTTATAAATAATGAACTAGTTCTACTCTAATATTATGCAATATGATATCAAATAGCATTTGCTCTGTTTTTGAAATCATAGAGAATGCATCACTAGTAAAGAATTGAGCATGTAGACTGAGCACATAGATTGAGCACATAGACTATGATTTTTGAGATTGAATCATATTTATCTTTCTGAAAGAACTGTCACACATATTATTTCAAAAACCTAGAAAAATGCTAAATTTATCTAGAAATGATATAGACACATTAATCATAGGAGGCCCTTCAATTCATAATTCCCAAACTAACGTGAATTTAGGAAAAGAATATTAGCATTTCTGCTCCAGAAAGAATAGTCTTTCATTTTAAAAAATAGTGACATAAAGTTGCATATATGTGTGTGCATGTGTACATTTGTTTTTCTTTTGTTCCACAGGGGTTGATTTTTATTCAATTTATTCAAATACATCTTAGACACTGAGAAACTGATTCCCATATTTGGTATGTAAAATTTGGAAGACAAAAGAGATTTGCATTACATTTATTACGCTGAAAGAGTTTGCTCTCTGAAGATTTTGACAACAGAATCTACCAATTCTTTTACAAAGAAGGGTGAAAAAATTGGCTTTTTCTGGTGAAATTGGTTTCCTTTCCAAGTGGTTTTGAAGCAGTGAGATACTCATGAACAATATTACTCATGAAAATTTGTAATGAGAAAACAAAAACAGAAACTAAAACTAAGCTTACTCTCTCACCATGGCAATGGAAAATACAAATACTCTACAAGAACAACATCAAACATTGACACAACATTCAATATATTTCTAAAATATAAAAACAGTCCAAATATTGGATATAGTTCTATAGAAACTTAAGTGACAAGGAATGTTCCCATTCTCACTGTTAATGTACTCAAATGATTAATTTCTAGTATTAGGATTCTGCTGTTTCAGTCCTTCTTTTAGGGGATGTTTGGCTTTTATCGCACAGGTGTTTTGAGGCATCTGGAAATCAGAGGGAATGGAGAGATAGTATTAAAGAGATGGAATGTGTTAAAATAGAATATTGCCTCTTGAATTCATTATTCGTATTAACTGTTAGAAATAATTGTGCTACACCAAAAGTACCCACTTATTAACTGATTTTAATTTTTTAAAAAAATTTTGTTATTTAAATAGTGTTTGAGTAACAAGTGGTGTTTAGTTACATGGATAAGTTCTTTAGTGGTGATTTCTGAGGTTTTGGTGCACCCATCACCTGTGCAGTATACACTGTACCAGATGTGTAGTTATTACCACTCACCCTCCTCCCACCTTTCCCCCTTAAGTCCCCAAAGTCCATTGTATCATTATTCTGCCTTTGTGTCCTCATAGCTTAGCTCATCCTTATAGTAAGAACATATGATGTTTGGTTTTCCATTCCTGAATTACTTCACAAAGAAAAATGGTCTCCAATTCCATCCAGGTTGCCATTATTTCTTTCCCTTTTATGACTGAGTAGTATTCTAGGGTGTGTGTGTGTGTGTGTGTGTGTGTGTGTATCACAATTTCTTAATCCACTTGCTGATTGATGAACATTTGGGCTGGTTCCATATTTTTGCAATTGGAAATCATGCTGCTCTAAACGTGGATGTGCAAGTGTTTGTGTTTTTCTTTTTTCTTATAATGACTTCTTTCCTCTGGGTAGATACAGAGTAGTGGGATTGCTATTACAGAGTAGTGGGATTGCTAACAGTCTCAAAGTGTCCCCTTTTTACCACATTCATGCCAACACCTATTTTTTTATTTTTTATTTTTTAATTGACAGCCATTCTTGCAGGAGTAAGGTAGTATTGCACTGTGGTTTCGATTTGCATTTCCCTGACAATTAGTGATGTTGAGCAGTTATTCATATGTTTGTTGGCCATTTGTATATCTTCTTTTGAGAACTGTCTATTTGTGTCTTTAGTACACTTTTTGTTGAAATTATTTGTTATTTTCTTGTTGATTTGTTTGAGCTCCTTGTAGTTTCTGGATATTAGTATTTGTTAAATGCATAGCTTGTGAAAATTTTCTCCCATTCTGAGGGTTGTCTGTTTACTCTCCTGATACTTTCTTTTGCTACATAAAAGTTTTTTGGTTTAATTAAGTCTCATCTCCTTGTTTTGGTTTTTGTTGCATTTGCTGTTGGGTTCTTGATCATAAACTCTGCCTAAGCCATTATCTAGAATACTTTTTCTGATGTTATCTTCTGGAAAGTTTATGGCTTCAGGTTTTAGATTTAAGTTTTTGATCCATGTTAAGTGGCTTTTTATTTAAGGTGAGAAATTAGGATTCAGCTTCATTCTTCTACGTGTGGCTTGCCGATTATTCTAGCAGCATTTGTTGAATAAGGTATCATTTCCCCACTTTATGTTTTTGTCTGCTTTGTTGAAGATCAGTTGGCTATAAGTATTTGACTTTACTTCTGGGTTCTTTATTGTGTTCCATTGATCTATGTGCCTATTTTTATACCAGTACCTTGGTGTTGTGGTGACTATAGCCTTGTGGTGTAGTTTGAAGTTGGGGAATGTGATGCCTTCAGATTTGTTCTTTTTGCTTAGTCTTGAATTGGCTATACCAACTCTTTTTGGTTCCATATAAATTTTAGGATTTTTAAAAAATTCTATAAAGAATGATGATGGTAATTTGAAGGGAATTGCATCGCATTTGTAGATTGTTTTTGGCAGTGTGGTCATTTTCACAATATTGATTCTAACCATCCATGAGCATGGGATGTGTTTCCATTCGTTTGCGTCATCTGTGATTTGTTTCAGCCGTGTTTTGTAGTTTATACTGTAGAGGTCTTTCTCCTCCTTGGTTACATGTATTCCTAAGTATTTTATTTTTATTTGTTTGCAGCTATTGTAAAAGGGATTGAATTATTGATTTGATTCTCAGCTTGGTTGCTGTTGGTGTATAGCAGGGCTACTGATTTGTGTACATTAATTTTGTATCCTGCTACTGATTTGTGTACATTAATTTTGTATCCTGAAACTTTAAGAATTTATTTGTCAGATCTAGGAGTTTTTTGGAAGAGTCTTTAGAGTTTTCTAGGTATGTGATCATATCATCAAGGAACAGCCACAGTTTGACTTCCTCTTTACTGACTTAGATGCCCTTTATTCCTTTCTCTTGTGTGATTGCTCTGGCTAGGACTTCCAGCACTACGTTGAACAGAAGTGATGAAAGTGGGCATCCTTGCCTTCTTGCGGTTCTCAAGTGGAATACTTTCAACATTTCTGCGTTTAGTATAATGTTAGCTGTGGGTTTGTCATAGATGGCTCTTATTACCTTTAGGTATGTTCGCTTCTATGCTGATTTTGGCGAGGGTGTTAAAAACCAATGCTGGATTTTTCAAATGCTTTTTCTGCATCTATTGAGATAAGCATATGATTTTTTAAAAAATTCTATTTATGTGGTATATCATATTTATTGACTTGCATATGTAAAAACATCCCTGCATCCCTGGTATGAAACCCACTTGATCATGTTAGATTTTTCTTTTTTTGGATACTGTGTTGGTTTTGTTGGCTAGTATTTCGTTCAGGATTTTTGCATCTATGCTCATCAGGGATATTGGTCTGTAGTTTTCTTTTTTTGTTATGTCCTTTCTTATTTTTGGCATTAGGTTTATACCACCTTCATGAACGATTTAGAAAAGATTCCCACTTTCTCTATCTTTCAAAATAGTTTCAGTAGGATTGGTACAAATTCTGTCAAGGAACTAGAGAAACAAAAACAAACCAAATGGAAGCCCAGCAGAAGATATAAATAACAAAGATCAGTGCAGAACTAAATGAAATTGGAACAACAACAAAAATACAAAAGATAAATGAAATAAAAAGCTGGTTCCTTGAAAAGATAAACAGAATTGATAGAACATTAGTGAGGTTAACCAAGAAGAGAGAAGATTCAAATAAGCTCTATTAGAAATAAAATGGGAGATTTTACAACCGATAACACAGAAATAAGAAAGATTATTCAAGGCTACAATGAATATCTTTACGCACAAACTAGAAAACCTTGAGGACATGGATAAATTCCTGGAAATATACAGCCCTCCTAGATTAAACCAGGAAGAAATAGAAACTCTGAATACACCAATAACAAGCAGTGATATTGAAACCGTAATCAAAACAATTGCCAATAAAAAAAGTCCAGCACCAGATGGAGCCATAGATGAATTCTACTTGACTTTAATATTTTTTTTAAAAAATCTATTTTATTTATGCAAGTTTTGCTTTAATTAAATATCAAATACAAGATCATATCCAGAGCATTATCCTTCCAGGTATATTTATATATTTATTTCTAATTTTTATTAACATTTTGAACAAGTATGTTAGATAAATACATAATTGTATGGCTAACTTATGTTCACGTCTTATCTCATTTATTTCATGTTGATGAGTGAATACCATTGTAAAGAGAGAGGCTTGAAAATAATTTAATACTTTTTCCTTTTGAAAACTTTTTTTAATGAAGGCAAGGCTGTATTTATTCTACTTTTGTCTCTCTTGTCTCCAAATCTGAGGTCTTTTAAAAATATTTTATGGCCACCAAGAAGTACTCGCTATAGATTCTCATCCAGGATTCTTTACTCTGTTAATGTTTCTTCATGTCTCTCTGTGTTTCTGTGTGTGTGTGTGTGTGTGTGTGTGTGTATGTTTGCATTTATGTCCGCATGCATACGGGGGTGTGTGTGTGTTGGGAGGGGGTATGTATCTCTTGTTTGCCATCAAATGTAGCCTTTCTTCCTATTTTTTAAATTTTGTTTTTACTAAAAATTATAGTTAATGAATTAATACTATATTATTTATGGCTCGTCACATTTTGAAAAGTGATTTTCTTTTCTAATAAATGATCATAAGGTTCTCATTTCCCTGATTCAAAGGAGTTAAAAATTATACATCTTGATGCATTCTGACAGGATATTTGAGAAATTTGTCCCTAAATCATCAGTGTCCCTGAAATCATAGCAATTTTTCTACTTAATTCTATATATGACTACTTAGATATTCAAATTTGGCATTCATGCAAATATTTTTAAAATAAGTTTTAGAAAGCCAAAATCAATTTATTAAGTAGCGTGTCTATGATAAAAATTCTTTACACTACATCTTTATTTACTAAAACAAGTATCTTTTCCACTAACCAGGAAATTTGAGTTTAAGGGTGAATTAAACTGATAAACTTGTTTGTATTAATTTTTGTCTAAGTGGCTTAATATTAAGTTCAAGTTTTAAAAAAGGGAAAAGTATATGAGTTGTATTACATAATATTAGTTGAAAGTATATCCTGTAACAGCAAAAACTATCGGGATATGGCTATTTTATATATCACTGGAAACCTTAATGGGTTTCAATGGATATAATGCATAATATTTTCAGCAATTTATAGATATATCAGAACTCAAAAAATAAAATAAGGTAGTAATTTTCAAGCTATGGATTGCTTTTCTTTGTACCTCATTCTTCGTTATACTTATTTTAGAATTCATTAGCAGTGTTTCCACTAGAGAACTATTCAAAAATCATATTGATATTTTAAAAAATTACCAAGATAAAAATACTGAAACATAAATTTCCTAAAGTTATTTCAATATAAAATTAATTACACCAATTAGAAATATTACCAATAACTGGAATATCATTCAACAATAGTAGGAAATATGTGTTATGGCTCATATTTTTTTTAATGATTACAATATTTAACCACAACTTCTAGAATTGATAACACTAGTCTCAAAAGTGAGTTACATGAATAATTAATGCCTTCTATATTATGAGCTAACTAACAAATCTAAATCTATGAAACATTAAAGGTCATAATATACAAGAGTTAATTTATATAGATATATAGTAGAATAGAAGAATCACATACTATACTTATCATTAATAACAGCCTGTCTTCCTATCTCAGAATCCAAGCAAGCTGAATATTCAAAAGTTTTGTGATCAAGTAATTTTCATTAAGTAGGAAAT